ATGAGTGTGGCCCAGCTTGGTATGGTGCTTTGGGCCTCTTGGGCTGTCACCTGGGGCCCCACACTGCTCGCGGGGGCTGCCTGTTGCACCAGGTTGGGTCCTGCACACACGGAAGCGGCCCAGCCCAAAAGCACGCAGGGCCCTGTGCATGCAGGACCCAGGATGGCGTGACAGACGGTCCCCGCAAGCGGCATGGGGCCCCGGATGACAGCTTGAGTGGCCCGGAGCCGCCCTAAGGTGCATGGTGCCACACTGCACCAGGCTGGGCTTTTGCAATTTGCCACAAGCAGCACCGGGTGCCAGGCAGCTGGAGCCAAGCTCTGCTGCTCTGTGCTTTAGGCGGGCTTTGCCAGGAGGGCCCTGAGCGCCCCGATGGGCTACTGCTGGGGGGGGAACAGTGGGGAGGGGACTGTGGTCCATGCAGGGGGAAGTAGGCAGGGTACCCATTCCTCCAGAGCAGCTCCCCCCACACCCACAGCCCCCAACAAGCCCCCCCTTGCCTCACTCCCCTCCACCCCAAGTCCCTTACTTACCTTGGACGGAGCTGGGGTCCATGCAGGCTGCACTGATCCAGGCTGCCCTGCACGTGTAGGCAGCGTGCTTTGGCACTGGGGCAAGGGGCAGCCATAGAGATGCTCTGGCCGGCTACCAGAGTGTCTCTTTGGAGGACCCAGGCCTCCGGTTGCCTCAGGGCATGCGCCTGGACCATGTGCTGCCCTGTTTTTTTCTGAATTTTTTTGATACCTGGATTTCCAGGTATCATATTTTGAGCCCCTGCTGCAAATATGCAGTATGGGGAATGCTTTTTTGTTCCCAGCATGCCTCTTGCCACATCTCAAATGGCTTTAAGATGTGGCAAGAGGCACATGCAGGCTCGTCTGGACACTCCCAAGGGGTGCTTACAGACATGGAAAAAACAAAACGACAGAGCTTTACTTTCAGCTCGGTGCACCCTGGCACCAAGCACAGCACATGCCCACAAGAGGAATCGCGTTGTTTTGACCCAGCTTGCCTAGCATCTGTATAGCTCGGGTGCTTCAGTGGGGCTTGTGGTGCTTTTACAATCAGCTATTAGGTAAAAGTGCCAAAAGGCCCTGCTGTAGCATGTGAGCTATATGGATGCTGGGGATCCAGGCCAAACTGATGTGATTCCTCTTCCAGTAAAGCACTGGCTGGGGGAGGGGTTCCATGTCTGTAAGCATTTGACATTTTTTAGGGCACTGCAAATTAAAAAAAAAAAAAAAAAAAAAAAGGTTGAAAACCACTGGCCTAAGTAAATTACTCTTTCATTTAGGGTTTATAATATTTGCCTTCTTTAATGACTTCAAAATCTCTTCATATTTTCTGCACTATAAAAGGAAATGAAGCCAATGCACATAAAATATTGTTATTTTAATCTTTTTCCAGACTTGCAGTGATATATGTCTGATTGCCAGATTACATAGCTGAGAGCAGTATTTAAAGTGGCTAAACAAAACATTTTGAATTAAACACAAAATTGTCTAGATCTTTTTGTGTTCTGTTCACAGTCGGTTTAGTTTAATCTTGTAGCATTCAGTAAACTTATTTACCAACTGTATTCACAGCGTAACATGGTTTTGTCTTTGTTATCTATGCACCTAAGCAACTAAACACGTCTCAGCCTGAAGAAAATAACATTATGGTAAATGTCTCTTACATGCTCAACTTGCTGCATGTAAAGTGGCTAAAGGTTTGTTGGCCTCCTGTGTCCATTCATTCTCTTACAAAGTGTTTCCTCTTGCTATCCGGATCATGTGAGTTTAATTGTCACATAAGATATTTGGGTATTTGAATATTCCATTATTTTTGTCTCTATCAAAAACAAACTTATGACTGTGTTGTTAAATATTGTTTTAATAGACCAAATACTCTATTTTTTCACCTCGTTGATGTCAGAAAAGCTTAACATACTCATTTGAAATATTTTCGCTATTGAATTTGAGTTCAGTTGAGTGGGGAAAAATTTTCCCACTGTGCTCTGTGTAGACTGGTATGAATTATGCAACATATCTAAGAATATTATGGATAACTTCTATACATATTTGTTTAATACAAAAATTAAATATTCTAGTATGGGTGGGCTAATTTGAAACCAAGATAAGACATCTATATTTGTTGCAAGTCCATCACTTCTTGGCCTTTTGGCTCAGATCAAGTGCATTTCCTAATCCTAAAAATTAATATTACTTACCACAGACAGTTGAGATGCTCATTACAAAATACACACAAGATGCTATGAAGGTCCTTCATTTGGGCATTGACTGTGGTCTGTAGCTTAAACCAATGTTCAGGGATCTGTTACTGAGATAAATCAGAAAGCTAAGAATCTTATCTCTAGTTTAAAAACAAATGATGCCTCAGGTGTTGCTTGTGTATGTCTTAACCATTATCTCTGACAGTAATACTTTGGTTTTCAGGTTTTCTGATTGCAACATCCTTAGCTAAAGAAAAACAGTATTGTAAAACAGCTCTTTTTGCTACTAATTTTTAAAGGTGTTATGGAGATCTATAAATGCTGTGGAGTCCATTTGTTCAGTTTAATGGTTGTTCTTGTGGAGGCAGGCAACCAATAATGAAACTGATATAGCAAGAGAAATCACTCCTTTTTGTTGTCTCTATTTAACACATTGCTTCTAGTAGACTTTCAGTCAAACTTGAGGTTATTTTAATTGGTTATTTAGTGTTTTGACCTTAATTACGTTTACTACATTTTAAAAATATTCATTGCTAAACTAACAATCACTCATTTATTCTAAGTTTGATAGTTTAGGCTCTTTGATCTATCCATTTTCTAAATAATTAAGTGGTTACAATACTTCCATGTTATATGGTAAACCAGTGTTATTTTTTTAACTCTGTTCTCTCTCTATTTAGAGCGATTTATAAAATTAAATTATATAGTACTATACAATTGCAGTTTGAATACTGCAATTTTTCTACTGTATTTAAAACCATGCATGCCACATTTTTGACAAAACATAGTTCATAGCAAAGACTTTCATATGGCTGCAGTGAGTAGGTTGCCCAATCTTTTAGAGACTTTAAACTTGGGAGAGTGGGGGAAGCATTTAAAAAAAGTATGGCTATACTGTGTTAAAACAACACCATGCTGTTCTAAGTGTGTATTTTTTTCTCTAACTTTTTAATGCTGACTAGATTTGGGCAGAAGAAGTGACAAAAGTAAGTAAAAAAAAAAAAAAAAAGTTCAGAAACAGAAGAATTATGAAACAAAATATGTATGCTAGTGCAGTATAATTAAGATCTTGTATGAAGAGCAGAAACGTAAAATACTATTAGTCTGATGCATCAAAATACCATCTGGCCCCTTGCAGAGAATTTCAAAATCCTAATGGTGATGTGTGAGGCACTTGAAGATAAACAGTGTGCTCCACCACAAGAAAACATGTGATCTTCTTGTGACACTACAGTAGGAAAAGACTACAGGGCTTCTCTTACAAAACTTAACTGCTTGAGACAATGTCTTCTTTGAAGCCAAACTCCTAATAATAAGTTCAAATGTTCTAAAGGATTGTATATTTTTCTCTTGCATGGCAAGTCAAAGCCACCACATGCAGCTATTTGCCTCCTAGTGTGCAAGTGCTGAACTGAGAGCAGCTGAAGCAGCAAACTCCACTGGAAAATGGAGAATCAATGCTAGCTTTTTCAGGTTTAGGTGGAAGACAACCTGAATGCAAACTCATGCTGTACAATGGTGATGCATAAGACTAAGTGTAGGCTGGAAAGAGAATATTTTGAGATACTCCTCGACTTCAGCCTTCATGACTGGGCATTGTGTCCTATCTCACTTGTTACAAAGCTGTTTTCTCCTCCTTCCCCTATGATAAAAGTAAGACAATAAGTTGTGAAACGGTCAGGGTCTCAAATCTGAGAGCTGGGACTAAAATGTAGACATTATTTTGAGTCATGCTGTTTTATTACTATTGAGCTGACAGTGTGTGAAGTTAAATGAGCTGGTCTGCTACAAAAAGCTGGGTGAGAGATGCTGGGGTCAGGCTGAATGCTGCTGACAACAGCCTGCAGAGCACCCTATCCACAGAAATGCAGAAACTGCACTTCCCCCACCAGCTGCACTAGACAACTTCAAGTTGGTGGAGACTGACAACTAACATTTTTTAAAGAAAAATCATTGGCAAGCTTTGAGCCCTAGATATTGACAGATTTGTTTTCAAGCCTTAATGCCGACTTTGAGTTTCCAACCATTTTATCTCTCTGTTACAAAGTTTTTTCTTGTTCTTAGTGTTCTAGAGTAAAATGTATAAGAAATAATAAACCTAGAAGCCATCCAGTCAGGATATTCAAAGCTACAACTAATGTCTCCTTTCAACGGCAGACTAATTCATGTAAATACATTCAGGCAAATTGTACTTTGAGATTACAGCTGAATGTTATTTCTTTAAGCCAGGACAAAGCTTTAAATAAGAGAGAATCCCTTATTCCTAAGTAAGGTTTTTAATGTTAATTGTCCTTACTACTAAAATGCTGAACTATTTCTGGTTTGAAATTGTCTGCTTTAGCTTCTGACTGTTTGATTTCATTATGCATTTTCTACTTGTTTTAAAATTGTTATCAAACCTCTTCCCCATGAAGGTACTCTCTCTCTCTCTCTTTAAAATACTAAATATTGAGCTTCATTAGTCTCTTGCTGCAAGACATGTTCTTCCAAGCATAGAAGCACTTCTTGTAGTTCTACTGCAACCTTTTCAGTTCTGTTTCTTTTGTTGCAGGGTGGACATAAAAATTGGATGTTGTATTTCAGCAATGTTCTCTAAGTATAGACATGTGTACATCTGGAGCCATTTCAAAATGGCAGCAGATGTTACTTTTCTAACTGCTAGTGTACAAGGTGGGAACTAGGAAGCAGTCTTACATTTGAAGCAGTTTTGCTACATCTGTATCATATCCTGCTTGTTCCATGGAACATCCTCTGCCCTTTTGAAACTGCTGCAGCGTTCATGTGTTCATACTCAATAGCAGTAGAGAGATAATACCTCTCTAGCCTTACTCTGTTTTGTCTTGTTCTCTGCTTTTTTTGTACATATTCTCTTGGGTTTACAATTACACTGAGAGCTCATACTTAATAAGTGGTTAACCAGTAAGCTTTGCAGCATGCCCATAAGCTTACAGCTCCTTGTTCTGAACTGAATTGGAAGAGGCACCAGTTTAACAGACCTCAGTGGAAAACAGTTACGGGCCACCAACTTGTGTGTGACTTGATGTAGGGTTTTTTTTAGGCTGCTATTACAGTTAATACTGCACTGGTAGAGAGGATAGTTTAAACCTAAAATTCTGATGTTCTCTCTTGGCTGCTTTGAAAACTGAAGTGGTGAGCCTGGAGGTTTTATGGGTTCAGAAGGTCAGCTGTCTGCATATGGCTTTTACCAGGGGCTATAAATGAGCATGCCATAATACCAGTCTTCAGTTGCCAGCAGTGAAAAAGGGGTGAGGAAACTAGTTGGAAGACTTAAATTATATAATCACACTTTAATAAGCAGATGAAATTCTTGTTTCCTTGGTTTTTCTTAAATTTGTGACACTTTCTGAAAGCATTCTGCTTAGTAAATGAGTTAAATCTGTGTGTAGTGTGACTTAATTTTGCCATCCCAGGTGAAGGGAGGAAATTAGCTTCATTTGCCCAACTAAACACTTGCCATTGTAGGGTTTCTGTAGAATGCAGATCAATCACAATTTCCTATTTTATGTACTGTATTTTCTGTGGTTGTAGAGGGAGACCTAGAGTCTACTGCAATTTTAAGTATCAGAAAACCTCACAAATCTCCCTCGGGAACTTGGCATGATGTGGAATCAGGAAATAATACTGGTTGACTCTGAATCTTACCTCCTTCTGAAGCTGCTTATTTTCCTTAATGTTCCTACACTATTAAAATCCTCATTGTTTTTTTTCTAAAGGAATGTATGTAAGAATTTTTTTACTAATCGTTTATTTGTCTGAACTTACTATTGCAAACAGAATTTTGAGTGGTTGGAAAAGCAAGCTAGTTGGTCTTTAATGATGACAATAACTTCCAACCAGAATCATATTAATGACTAAATTAGCCCCATGCTCCCCAATTGGGACTATGCACAAAGAGTTGATGTCCTGACCTATTTTGTGACATGTACATTTCTGTCTTGTTATGAAATTAAATATATGTATGCTTTTCAACAGCAGTTTTCTCAGTGTCTTTATCATGGATAATTTCAAAACTTCAGTTACTGTAGTAACTTAAAATAATATTTTTAAAACATCACTGCATAATTTCTTCTGGACAGATTGCTGCAACTGAGATGCTTCTATGTTCCCATGTCACTCTTCATAATAATAATAATAAGTAGAAATGTTATATAATAAAATGATGTGCAGGAACAAAACAGCACATCTAAGTATAGAGGCACTAGTGCTTCAACAGAGCTTCCTGCAAAAACTTCCTACTCTAAGAATAATTATTGCTTTATCATACTTATTGCCAGAAGGGTCGCATGCAGAAGCAAGACGTTAAAATGTTAATTGTCAGACTTAAAAAGCACAGTATCAAAGCAATCTTCATTCTATGATTAAGAGTTTTCAGTCAAAAGAAATCTTAGAATAGTGAATCTTAAATAGTGCAGTTTATATGCAGAAGTGCAGTTCAGGCAGCATAGCCTTTTTAGAGCACTAAATGCAAAGTTAATTGTACTAAATGACATCATCTAATATAGTTGGATTACTTTTAGATTCATCCTAAATTTCCTGGTACCTGCAGGCTAAATGACATTAACAAAATAAACTATGGACTTCAGTGACTTAAATATAACAAAATGTAATAGTCTCAAATAAATTCTACTTTTTAACTGTAAATTTCACTTTCTGGTGCAGCAGAGAGCTCTTAGCTTAACATAGGGGTGACTGAACCTTCTTAAAAATTAATCTATTTTGAGGTGTCTAGAGTTAGTGCATAGGTAGCATATACTCATTAGTCTCCATGCTTTGTTTGCCAGAAAGTCATACCAGAATGAGCAGAGTTTTACATATGGCTAACTGGAAAGCAGTTGCCTACAAAATTAAATAGCTATGTACCAAATTATGAATGCCTACAAGGGGTATAATAGCTTAAAGGTTTTAGAGAATTAAATAAAAATTGGGGCCCTAATTCTGCAAACATATAAGAGCACATTTAACTGAATTCACATAAATAGTTCTGTTGAAATCAGGGAGATTAATGCATTAAAGTTGACTACTGTGTAGGATCATGGCCTACATTAGGAAGCTGTAATAGATTTAGCAAGCAGTATGGTGGTGTGATATGGCTGCTTTTGACTGAATGTACTTCTAACAAGTATACCCGCTTCAGTCTGAACAGGAAGTAAGAATAACTCAGAGTGAATTTGACCGTCAAGCAGAGATTACAAGACTTCTGCTGGAAGGAATCAGCAGTACACATGTAAGTATCCAAACTAAAGAAAGTGTAAGCAAGAGTTCTGGCGACTTACCTGGCACATTAAAATGCGAATGTTCATCTTCATGTGTTTATCAAACTTTAGATATTTGAAGGGAAACTTCTGAGCCATGCTCCTGTATAGCAAGCTTAATTTTGGTTAAAGTAGAGGTTAGAACAGGGGCCAGCAACCCCTGGCATGCATGCCAGAGTATAGCAAGCAAAAGCATTTTGCTTGGCATGTGCACCTCAGGGTGGACAGCGGGGGAGATGCAGGGGGCCGGATCCTTGTGGCAGTGCAGCTCTGGTCCCTTCCCTGCTGTCTGTCCTGAGACGTGTATACCTGCTGCTAGCAATGAGCTGGGCTGGGGATTTGCAAACTCCAGTGGAGCTGCTTGCAGCCTCCCTTCCACCTGCTGCAAGCAGCCTGGGCTCTGTGGCAGGCGGCAGGGGTTGCCCAGAGCCCAGGCCAACTGTGGCCAGCAGCCAGGAGGTTGCAGGTGGCTACACCGGGATCCATGGAGTTCTGGCCTGGTTCATTGCCAGTTGTGTGTGCACACATGCCTTGAGGCAGACGGCAGGGAAGAAGTCGGGCCTGAACTGCCACAATAAGGATCAGACCCCTCACAGCTCCCCCAGTCTGCCCCTGGCATGCCAACATCTCACAGGTTGAAGTTGCAGGGGCTTTGGCACTCTGCCCAAAAACATTGCCAGCCCCTGATGTAGAGGTTCTTCCCACATTTTACTCTGAGCTTCTCAGTTTTCACAGAACCACTCAAAAGTCTACCCAGTGTTGAGGCTACAAAAGGCAAAACTTCTGTTCTATAGTAACTCTTCTCTTGGGTAAAGGATGGCATGATTCTTCTACAGTGTCTTTCTCTTGGGCCTGAACTTTTGGATTCCGTTTCAGTTACTTGACAAGTCTGGGTCCTGAATGTGATTCATAGAATACCTGATACGGTAATGTTGCCACTGCCAGCCAATGATCGGGACAGCCTGTTTAATGCAGTACGGTGCTCTTTGAAGACTAAAAACTTGAACTCTTTGCTGTGTTATAGGCACATCATCTTCGCTGTCTGAATGATTTTGTTGAAGCTCAGATGACTTATTATGCACAATGTTACCAATATATGTTGGACCTCCAGAAACAACTTGGAAGGTAGTAAAACTGCAAAAGCTTTCTAATTAAAGCTTGGCTGTAAGGGCTTATTTAAAATAGGAGAAATTGTTTTGGCATAACTACTAATATAGCTAGCTGTGGTACAAATCCCTGGTGCAAAACAAAAGGATTCCTTTTGCTTTTCTCTTAGTTAACCAGTTGTTTGATGCTTCATGTTAGCAAGCAGTTGTCAAATGCACTAGAGGTCAGTGTACTATCTGCAAATGTATGCCATTTTTAAAACTTGCTTGTAAACCTAAGAGTAGAGCTGCAGTCTCGCAAGCTGGAGCCGACTGCCAGCAAAGCTAGCTACTCTAGGGGAAGCTGATCACTCAGAACAGTATCAATAGAGTAGGCAAGGTATGTCTTGTGACTTAAGCTTTTTTTTTTTTTTTTTTTTTTTTAAGCCATTGGAATGAAACATCTAATGCTTTAATGACCCTTTAACTTGAAGTGTTCCGAATTCTTTCTTAGATGATCAAAATGCCCTAAAACTGGGGTGTCGAAAATCTGGCCTGCAGGCTAGATGTGGGCCTTGGAGGTGGGTCTTCTGGCATGCCCGGGGCAGCAATCCCACATTTCAGTTTGGTGTCTCCTTATCAGCCTCATGCTGCTGCAGGGGCAGGTGTCAGCAGGGTGCCTACCACAGCTATTGTCAGTGACAGCAAACTAGTGGGACTTACTGATGGAGGTGAGCTATAGCAGCTGCAGCAGGGGCTGTGCTGATCCCCTCTTCCCACAAGAGCATTAGGGTGACAACGGGATGCAAATCCTCATTCATCCCTGGGCTGCAGGCCATCCTGGCATCTTCCCCCCGCAGCAGCGGTTCTGCTGTAGTGGTGGGGCTTATTGCTACAGCTGCCAGGGCCTCAGCAAGAATAGCACTGAGGCCAAAGTAGGTGTGGTCCACAGGCACCAGCAAATTGGGGAGTGAGTTTGACACCCCTGCCCTAAAAGAATTGCACAGATAAAATTGCTCCCTTTCTTTTAAAAAAAATTCTTTCCCAGTTGGGGCTTTTTTCTGAAACAGTTTCACATGTTAGACAAATCCTTGACTTGGGGTAGTTTGGTTGACTGAGGGGTGATTCTGCCTTGAGCAAAAAGTTGAATGTATCATAACATCATATTCAATGGAATGGAATTTCTTGGGTTTGTCTGTGCTTAAGGAAACTTTACTGAAATAGTTATTTTGGTTACTTTTGGGATAAGTTCCCATGCAGATAATGTTGATATAAGTATTTTAGAATAGTTAATTCTCCAAATATAGGTAGGCTTTTATTAATAAAATGTCTCCTTGTGAGCAGGTGAGTTTGTGTAGTAACTTGCCATTTACAAGTTGTATTAAGTAGTTTAGTTAAGACAACGTCTAGAAAACATTCTAGATTAATCTATTTTTGGAGGCTTTTTGGCATGTGTTTGAAATTCTCTTTTTGCTGCTAACCCTTCTTATCAAACCGCTTAACTTAAAAATGATTGATAATAGCTTTACCAGCTGTACTGATTTTGCTTGTAAAATCTGGGAAGCAAAGATGCATTTGGCAATACCCCCAATGAGAATTAACTAGTTTGATGGAACCATACTTAAGATTTTCAGCAAAGCTTGCTATTTGCTTGCACAATCTGTAGCACGTGTCCCACAGTTGGTAGAAAGGGTATAATGGACTTATTTTTAACCTCTTATCAAGTGGAGTCATGCCTCCATAGGAATGGAAATAATTGTCAGTGGGCATATTCTTTTTCCACAGCTTCCCATCTACCTTCCTCTCTAACAATAATCAGTCTTCCTCAACCCCTGTGCCAAGTGTATCTGCTCCATCAGTCTTGGCCTCTGCTTCTGCTTCATTGCCTTCAGTAAGCAATTCAGTAGTTACTTCAGGCTTCAGTGAACTGAAGTCATCAAGTGGCAACAGGAAGGCCAGAGTTCTCTATGATTATGATGCTGCAAACAGCAGTGAATTATCGCTACTTGCAGATGAGGTAAGAGTTCATTCTAAATGTCATAATAACTTGAAGTGGTCTGTCGGTAATTTAGGTAATGTATACGTTTAACTTACAAAGAGTGACTTAAGTGGCATTCTCGTTTGTAGGCTAAAAATCTCTTCACCACATAATCTGATGTACTGAAATTTCACTAACATGTTACACAAATCCCTAAAGTGTCCTGTGTACCTGTATACTCCAGTTCCATAAAATGGAGATAATATTTGCTGTTTCTCCATAAGCATTATTGCAGGTTAAGCAGCTGTGGCCTGGTTCTGCTATCCTCTCATGCTACAGAACAGTTTTCATCCTGAATACCACCAGTGTACCATGTAGGGGCAAGCTTATGTACTCATCCCAGGGCGTTTTTGCACATGTTCCGGGATATGACCAGGTGCTTTAATTAGCGAGCTGCGCTAATTAGAAGTGCCCGTGTGTCATGTATATCAGCATCCCTGTGCATCCCCACGCTGAAAAAATGGCGATGGGGCACTTTGAACTAAAGCTCATCAAACATGTTTTATTTCAAAATGCCCCGCCGCCATTTTTTCAGCACAGGGACACTGGTATATGTGACAAGGAAGGTTGCTGAAGTGTGTCTGTTTTCCTGCTCCAGCAGACTCAATCAAGTCTGCCCCGACATGCTCGGTTTCCAGCACGTCCGAGCAGGCTCTTTGCACGTCTGTAGGAGCTCCCAGAGTACAGCGCAAGCACAAATGTTTGCTTGGTTTCAACAGGGCTAACTTGTACCTTTGCTCCCTTGCCTTTCAATTCAGGTTCTTAATAGTTGATACTAAGGGCTTTTCTGGGGGAAAAAAAACAAACCAAAAACCAAAAAAACCCTTGGAAAAGTTAACTATGTGCATGTTAAATGACATTGAGCGCTCTCATAGATATTCTCACGTAGCACGTGTGAGGGTTTAAGATGCTTTAACTTCTGTGCAGTTACTTCTAGTTTTTGTTTGCTTTAACTTTCCTAAGAGTTTCTCATAAAAGGTTTTGAAGCACTAGTTATCTCCATAAAAAATCCTCCAGTTAGTGCTGAGTCTTGAAGAAAATGCTGCATGTAGCTTCTCTCTCTCTCTCTTTCATTTTTAAAAGTTGGTATTATTAAGACAAAGTTTACCTTGAGTCAGTGCCCAGTTTGGTGTTTTCTGATCTTGAAGTACTTTAACTAGTTCAACCCTCTTCTCTTCCCCTTCCCCACAGATTAGTAGAAATAGTATCTATAAATGGTAATTACTCTGGTAGACCGGCTATGCTTTGCTTTCAACAATATCTGTTCCAAGATGATATGTTAACGATGTGTTTCTGTTTTTTAGGTGATAACAGTTTACAGTATCCCTGGCATGGATTCAGACTGGTTGATGGGTGAAAGGGGAAATCAGAAGGGCAAAGTGCCTATTACTTATTTAGAACTGCTAAACTAAATGGTTGGCCTATATAAAGACTGTCAGTTATGGTGACATCCTATTTATGTACAATTAACTTTATATAAGCAGGTTTAAGTGTCTTCCATATTATTGTCTTAAGGGACAAATACCAGCCTTCAGAAACTGGCTTTTCTGCCAATGTTGTTGCATGGTAAATACTCTGTTCAGATTTAATTTGTGTTTAAAGCTTTTACTTCATGTGCCAAGAATGTGTTTCCTACAGAATTGTTTCTACTGAAGTTTTCACTAATACAAGCTTCTACTTTTGAGTAATCTAGATTGAAAGCAGGAGGTACTGTTTTCTACTGAATTTTTCATTAATGGCAAGCTTCTTTCTTCACATAAAATAAACTTATTGTGAATTGATGGCAGTTTGATTTCAGTTATTTGTTCAGTAGTCAATAGCCATGACCAGGTCAAATATAAAACTACTTTGTAAAATGGTTTTAGTTGTTCAAGATGGTATGTAGAATGCAAACATACTGATTTACATGGTTAGAAGTGGAACGGTATAGGCATTGAAGAACTTCAAAAAAGAAGAAAAAAGTTGTGACTTAAGGTGTAAGGTATAGTTTAAAATGTTAGTACTTCTATTTAATGCATGGTTGGATTGAATTCTTTTTTTTTTTTCAGTCATGAGTTTTCATCATGACCTAAATCATCAAGGATAAACCTTAATTAATACTAAATTTGCTTTGAATTTGTACTTTTTTAGCTATTTTAACAAGGGAAGTTTTATTCTCAGTGGCTGGTAACTAATAAAGATGGTTGAATTGCAAATGTACATAGTCTTTGCTGAATTTAGTACCTTATGTTTGCTAACTGGGAATATATACTATAACAGTACATTAAGGCCATGAACAGATGCAGTAGTATACGTTTAGCCTGAAGTCGTCCCCCTCTCCCCTGCTCTCCTTGCGTTCTCAAAATGAGGGTGATCCTGGTCTGGGATAGGTGAATGGACCAGTGCCTACTCCACTAATCCTGATCCCTGTGGGGAGGAGCAGCAAGGCAAGGCTTCCTACATCTGCCACAGACTGGGCTCTGGAGAATGGGGCGAGCAGCACTCCATTTAGGAGTGGAACAAAAGGAGAACTGGGGAAAAAGCTCTCAGCTCCTATCCCAAGCCCAGGCAGTGTATGGTTTGGAGAAGCGGCAGGGAGGGTGGCTGGACTGGTCCAAGAGGGGAACAGAGCAGCAAAGCACCACCCCCAGCCCCTTCCCCAAGCCAGGTGCTGTCTGGCTTGGGGAAGAAGCAGGGAGCAGAAGATGTTCTTGGAGGGGGAGGAGGAGCAGTGCATGAACATCTGCACACTTGTGGGTGCTACCAGGAGAATCTCCATTCTTCCAATAGAAACTGAATGTCTATACATAGCCTCAGTAGAATTTAAGTAGTTTTAACATACATTTATTCAGATTCTAAATATTTTTTATGTTTAAAAATAACTTTTTATTGGATTAACACTATTGCATAGTTGTATTTAGGCAAAGGAAGTATCTGTAGTTAGCAAACAGAATTGTTTCAGAGTCACCATATTGTTCAAGGTTTTAGAGCTAATAGATCTAATCTTGCTTGTAGAGTGAATATGTTTGCATATGCATGCTCTTCTAATCCATGATGGGGAGGAGCTTGTCTGTGTTTTCTACTATCAGTCAATTTCTTAACTTTGAATTTAGTATTTCATTTTTTGCTAACAATTTAACTGAATGAACTGAGTAAACTGAAATGAAAAGTGTTCTCTGCCCCTGCAAGAGCCGTTGATGTTTCCAAGCTGTGTTTGTTCTTGACATTGGTGCTGAGTGACTTCTGTCAGCTTAGTTGGATTATTTCTGTAAAATTTTGGCAGCAAAAGTGTCTCTTATTAGTGTTGAATAACATATGGTCTTATCTATTAAAACTGTCCCTTTTTTGTTAAGGAAACATTTCTTAGTCTAAAAATAAGTTTGGTAGAATTAATCCCCCCCCAGTGCTGATGCTGTATAAAAGCAAACATAAGAACCAAACCAAGATTTCAGACTGGACTGTTGTGACTTATGTAAGGAAATGAAATGCCAAAGAGCATTATTTACACGTGCGCGTGCGCGCGCGCGCACACACACACACACACCCCCCTAAGTAGAAAGCTATAGTACTAAAAAATGATTTGACCAATAACTTCTGCTGATAATGCTGACCTTTTCTTCCCCTCCCCTGGCCAATTCCATTTGTCTCAGCATAACCAGGAGACATTTGTGTCAGAAATGTTCTTACATTCAAGGCTGTGTAGACAACAAAGCTGTACAGTACGCTCATTCATCCAAGTATTAAATGCTCAAGAATATGGACTCCAAACTAAGCAAAGGGTTTAACTGATATTTCAATAACACAGGCCTTTTACTTATTGCTGGGGTTCATTGCTGTAGAGCAGCCTTGCTCATAAAAAGGATAACAGTGATTGTTTTAGTTGAAACCTCATTCATTAAATATTGCAAGTATGTGACAATACTAATCTGCCCAGAGGCAGCAGGACCGATTTCTAAGATGTCAAAGAGACCTAGAATTTGCTATGTGTTTGAAGAGGCAAAAAAGACCTTCTCCTTGTCTGCCAAGATTGTGATGAGCTAGTATAAATCTTTAGTCAAATAGTTCTTGATCTTTTTATGAACGCAGGTAGAAAGGGAGATAAATTTAGTTTTGCTAGGTGACAAGTCTTCTTGCTGGTACTCTACCAAGCTGCAATAAGTTCTATATCGCTAAAGGAAAATTGTCGCAATCTATTCGGAGAGGAAAGTTGGAAGGAATACAGGCATAGATACTGGTGATAAGATGAAAAAAAATAATTATTAGTATTCCTTATTGGTATTGAATCTTAATAATTGAGCTCCTGAACAGTATCAGAAAAAACCTGAATTATTTCAGGCTTGCTGGAGTACCTTTTATTTTAGTTCAGAGATACCTACTTTTGATAGCAAGCTAAGAGTGTAGCTCCAAATTCCCTGTAATATAGGGACATGTACATTTAGGGATAAGTACTTTTTGCATACTGCCGTCTTGTGTAAACATAGACAGTTCCTCCTCTGACTCTTCTACTACAGAGCAGTGCAATACGTACTGGCCTATAGCACAGTTACTCTCTGATTTGAATACTGTCAGTTAGGACTATATCAAGCAATTTAGTCATCTCTATATTCTGCAGGAAATGAAACTCAAGTTACCTAGTATCAAAACATGCTGAAGCAGATAGAATGTGTGGTTTTTTTCCTTATGTTTAAGAAAAGTTCTAAGACAACTAACAGTAATAATTTAACAAAAATAGTTACTATTTTTTACTGCCTAGTTAGGTTTCAGACTTAACCCCTAGTGGTGCCTTGTCTCTGTAAGTTGGCAAATTTTTACAGCATTTATGGTTAACATGCCTGGCCACTTTCTCCCTCCACTCCCAATTATTAAAATGCAGAATTAAAGTTCTGGAGCACAAATTTCTTATGAAATAGATTACATGGAAAGTTCTCGACAGACAAAATCACGATTATATAGAGTCTACTGTGGGCTATTATGCAGAACAGGAAATAATGTAGAGGTGGGACCCTGTATCCCATCTCCTTTATAAAATGGCAGAAATGTCTGCTTCCTCTCCTAGTATGCCAAAGCTGTAGGGCCTACAGTGTAGGCAGTGGCACCTGCAGCTGCTGTCAAAATGTTTGAGTGCATCCATACACTGGTTTTGGGACACAGTCTTCAGAGAGAATCCACATGAAGTCTCCAGCTTTTGGTGTCTGCAGCTGGTGTTTTGAACTGGTTAACAGATGCAAGACCGTGCAACACCTGAGGAAACTTCTGTGCACTGTAGCTTAAGAAAACTCTGGAATAAATTGTGTGCAAGAAATTTGTGTTTGTACCTAATTCTAGATGAGCAGAACTGAGTGCGCACATCTGGTGTGCACTACCACCTGCTGCCATCTCCTTAGGACCATGACCTAAAGTTACAGCAACCATCAGTACCATCACTTGGCTGGACAGGTGCCAGACTGTGCTACCTTGTTGACTGAAGCCTTTATAGGAAAGGAAACTTGCAGTAGTGCTGGCAAGGGTTGGTGGGAAATGGGGAGAAAGCACTGTATATATTAAATAGTAAGATTTATTGCTGCCTTTCCTTTAATTTAGTGAGAACAATATGTATTTAGTGAGTCCTAAAGCTCCCTGTTAGCTGATTTGAAAGAAGAAATTATGAGGCTCAAATAAAGAAGCTGATTGCTAGGGGAAGATGAGATGGGAGGAAATGCATTACAACATATGCCTGTTTGTCCATATTTAATATGTATCTCACTGCCCTCAACTTGGTTCTTCTCTCAGGATCACATGGCAGAGACTCCAAGTATATAAAAGAAGACTAAACCTGAAAGCAAGGAAAATGGGTTGTAGTTTATAGTGGTGTGAGAATTATTTTCAAATACAAGGGCAGATGTACAATACATGCACCTGTGTAAATCCCTGGGGATTTTAGCTATAGTTATACTTTAATCCAGGGCTATCCCCTCTCTTTTTGGAAATAACAACTCTTAATTAAGATGTCTGGTAGGGGGCCAGTTACATGAGTCCGACAAATATCTTTTATCTCCTTCCTTAATAGCTTTGCAACTACTTCGTTAGGGCATCTCCATTAAACACCCATTGCTGATATTTTGTTGTTGTTAGTGTCCCATGAAAGCACTTTCCACTGCTATTTTCCTCAGCAATGCCACAGGATAGATTATTCATTCACATCAGAAACAATATACATAACTGCTTTTAACAAAAGGTGGCAGCTCCAACAATTAGACTCTCTTCCTTTTGTTCCCCTCTGGGCTGTAGACTCACAGTGGCACAAGCAGTACAGTGAAATTCATTATCTCTTGAGGACTGGATGCTAATAAAACGTTCATGCTGCTTTTAATAGATTTCTGGCTGGTGTTCTGTTTATTTTTCTGCAGAATCTAGCAAAATGATGTGATACTGCAGCCTCTTTATTCTTTCCTTGCCTGGATCTCAGAAGTCTATGATAAATGTCCCTGCTATTCTTAAGGGCTACATGTGGATTCTTACTCAGGCTTGTCTTGTCACCTGTTTTATTCAGTGGCACCTTGGGCCCTTGCAGATACGGGCTGAGCTAAAGTGTTAGCAGAGCCCTCGTACTTGGCTCTTTCACAGAATTAAGGATCTGTGGTATTGTCTTTTTTCCACTATTTAGTATAGACAAGGAATGTGGTTTGACTTGTTCCAGGTCAGGTCACATTAATTACGTTTGGTACAAGAAAGTATCTGGAGGAATGGAGAAAGTATGTAGTCACCCCTCTAGTGGGGAGATGCCAAAAGTTGTGACTTTCCCCCACCACTTTCTAGCGTGCACTTCCCCACAGTGCTCCAGGCAGAATATTTCCAATCTGCAGGTGGTGCAGAACCAGCTTCTAAACAGGGTGAGACACCAAGAACACCAGTTTAACACACATGCTTATACTTGGGAGTGGTAAGTTGCTGACTTCTGCATACAGTTCAGTCCCCTGATTTATATAAGACTTGAATTGTGACATCTAGTTATATAAGGAGCTGACTCCTGCCCATGTTCCTCCACAGCAGTTAAAATTTGCTTTTCTGTCAGTTCCCAAGAGAGAACCATTCAGAATTGGCAGCAGGGTATACTCTCTAGAGGGCCCTCACCTTTGGCCCTCCCTTTCCTTAGCTGTATGTCAGCCAAATCAGCAAGCTCCAGAGCGCAGTATAGGGCACGCTTGCTCTAGCAGGCTTTTATTAATGCTTTCACCTGAGGC